AATTACATTGAATAGGACACAAATTCACTATGAAGGTGGTTCGTGTGATTTGTTTGCTATAAGTCTTCTAAAGTCAGATAGCTTTGTGTGACGATCAGACATTCTTTTCTCCTGCAGTGAGCTAAAAAACCCCTGCAATTCATGAAGTTTAACAAATCAGTCCGATTCGTCTTTCGTGAAGACAGGGTGGATGTGAAGATCGTCAGTTCCTCCATCGCATGGCTTCACAACACTTGGAATACACTTTCTGATACTTTTATTTTCAGAGTCATTTCAGAAATTGTAACAACCCCGGTCAGTCCCCATTCGCTTTCGATTTCAAAAGGACAATCTTTAAAAATGTTGTATTTGTGTTTCACGGAAGGTTATTTATTTATATATTTTTTCCCACATTCAAACTTCAAAAGAACATTGTAGGCTAGCATTTGTGAAAATATACGTCCTTACAGACAGTTATTAAAAATAAATTTACTACAACAGAAAAACAACAAAAATTATAGAAAAAAGTATAAATATAAATACATATACATACATATATATACTGTATATATATATATATATATATATAAAATGTAAAAACATTGTGGTTTATATTAATATATTTATGTATGCATTTATTTTATTTATACTGTGTATGGCAACATTTACACTTTCTTTTTTTTATTACACTTCAAAATGAATATTTTATAATAATATTATGACATCTAACTAAAATATATACACATACAAATGTATTTTATTTACAAATAAAATAAAAAGTAAACATACACCTGAATATTGAAGTACAAATTACATAAAAAAAATGAAAGTGTAACTTCACAGCTCATTTATTATTTACGAATAAATAAGCCTATTGTTCTGCGTTACGCAACAATGCAAAAACCCTGTCTTTCCTATAGGAATCACAATGCAATTTGTTTTTCACATTAAAATGTAAAAACATTGTGGTTTTGTTTAAAGGGTTAGTTAGTTGTTCCAGTTTCTTTCTTATGTTGTACACAAAAGAAAATATTTTGAAGAATGTGGGTAGCCAAACAGTTGCTGGTAGCCACTGACTTCCACAGTATGGATTTTTAAAAAAAAAATGTTATAGATAGATAGATTTTTTTCATAGTAAGTCAACTGTTTGGTTACCAACATTCTTCAAATATCTTCTTTTGTGTTCAGCAGAAGAAACTGGTTTGAAACAACATGAGGGTAAGTAAATGACAAAATTTTCATTTTTTGGTGATATCTTTTTTTTTTTTAAACAGCATGAAGGTGATTAAATAACTGCATGCATTTGAGACAGGACTGTCTTGAATAAACACTGTCACGTCCCCTTAAATGTCCTGTTTAAGGATAAAAATTCCAAAGGGAAATGCTGCATGTATTTGTAGGCAACAACCTAATTGATGTTTAACATTACAGGCCTGTATCTCTGGAGCTGCTGTGTTATCTTCTCAGAAAAGCTGCACTGTAAAGAGGCTGCTGCACCTCAGATCATAAATCATCAAGAGCAAGGTGTGAAGAGTGTGTATGTGTGTGTGTTCTTGTTAGGGTAAGTGTGTGAGGTAAACTCTCAGGAGCAGCAGTCATAACACCAATGCGAACACCCCTCATTTATCACATGCACACACACGCTCGCGCATCAAGCCTATGATTTCATAGACCTTAATTAAAAAGCACACAGCACTATTTATAAGTGTGATCGTCACTTAGTAGCACTAATAAGGACGTTAGTTGAAGAAACACATATTATTAAGCCTTAGGAGTAGCGGGGGCTCTGTTAGTAGGCACACATGCTAATAAGCTGCTGCCGGGGTCTAACACTACTCCACGGGCCTGAACAGGATTAATCAGCCTGTAAAAGAGACCCACCACACGGCTTCCTGCAAGGACACCAAGGCTAAATCAGCAGTTGGAGACAAACTAATTAACGGGTAGAGAGAGACCGAATCACTAGAGACTAGTGAAGAGGGCATTGCTTTTAAATTACTGTCAGTCTTATTCACAAGCCTGGCTTTAAAGGGTTTCACTGTCTTTACTCAGGGTGTGTTTGAGCTGATGTTTAAAGCTGTAGTGCTCTTTGCTTCTTTGAGATAGACATCTCTGTCCTATTAAAAATTTTGTGAATATAGAAATATGAGTAATTTGACAAAATATGTGTCATTTGTAAAATCACACACACTCTCAGAAAAACGGTATAAAACTGTCACTGGGGCAGTACCCTTTCAAAAGGTACAAACATGTAGACGCTATAAGCACTAATATGTACTTTTAAAATATTAATGTGCTTTTGAAGTACTAATATGTAACTTTATGGAACTAATATGTACCATTTAGGAGTAAATAAGGTACAAAGATAGAAAAAGCTACACTCTTAGAAAAAAAGGTACAAAAGCTGTCCCTGGGGTGGTACTGTTGAAAAAGGTACACCTTTTGTACCTTATTTACCCCTAAAGAATGTATATTAGAACCTTAAAAGTACATATCAGTACAAAAATGGTACATTCTTGTAAAAAGTTGTCAAAAGGTACCTTTTTTTTTTTTCAAAAATGATCTTCAACAACAAAAAGTTGATGCCAACTTGTGCTGCTGTGAAAATGTTTCTAAATGCATCAGAAAACGTATTTTATAATTAAAATAAATAACGATATAAATACCTTTAAAATAATATTTGAAATTTTTTATTTGTTCAGTAGAATGTTTTTTTTAGCAAATATGCACATTTACATGTGAACAAAATAAAAAAACATGTGGAAATAAAACCTAGCATTTTGTTGTTTTCTTATTACTTTGTTATCTAACATTTATTAAAATACTTTTTAATAGTTGTGCATTAACCCTTTTATGCTCTTTCCAATGTTAAAGTAATAAACTCAAATCTCTTTTTATGATTTTGTTTAGTAAACCGTTGATCCTTGTTATTTGCAGGAAAATCAGTGTTACATTTTCTAAGAGGCACTGTGACTTTTACATTTGAGATTAAAAGACTTAAAAAATAACAGTTTTGTTACTTTTAAGGCATCATTTCCCAAAGCAATCATTTATCTATGGATGGCACAGTGCATATGTGAACACTGAAATATTATTTCTTAGTGGTAGACAGAATTTTTTAAATCTTGCAAAAAAGGAACTTCTTGTCTGGCACTCTGGAAGAGGTGCCCATTTTGTATAATGACCCATATTTTCATATTGGCACACACACACACACTCTATAAAACTCTAGGCAGGGTTCTTCAGGTGTTCTCTGCTGCAGAATTTACAAGCTCTTAATGCTGGGTCAGATGATGGAGTACGGATAAACCAATCAGGCTTCAGCCAGGATGAGTAAATGGGCATGCAGAGGGGCCCATTATCTGTCAGGCTCGTATGATACAGCAGCTCCATATTTACGGCCTACTTAATGGGGTTGATTGTATTAGTGCACGAGACGAAGGAACGGCCCTATTGCAGACACAGTATTTCCAGCTTTGTGCAATTACCTTATGTAAATCCCGCAAGCAGGCGTCTATTTAAAATGCATTGAATTTCCCAAAGCAAAAACAGTCAAGTCCAACCATGCGAACTTCATTAATACCAAAGCATGGGCAGATATCATTTGAAGTACTCCTATGATTACTTTAGCCAATGCCCATGTGCATTTGGGGTTTATTTTAATTTAAAGGACACTTGAGATGGTATTTGCAAAGACACGGTAAATGGAGCATTTAAGCACAGGAGCCTCAGGAGTGTCTCAACTGAGGAATAAGCACAACTTTACATGAAAGTACCATCAATATTTACACAGATGCCTTATAAAAGCCAATTAGGGAGAGGAAATGTATTTCAACATCATGTTTGGCCTGTATCCGGCGTGGTTTACATCTCCGTGCAATGTTTGCATTAATGGTCAATTATTTCGCACAAGAGATATTCTGAACCCTGATAATATCACATTCTACTACACTTAAAGCTTAAAGTAACAGCAGACAGATTCTTATCAGCTTCTAGGATATTCCAATAAATGTCATTCAGGCTGCATGCATACAGATTTACAGCCCACAAAAACAGTTTATATTAATATGTAGCCCTATAAAAGCAGTTACCCTGTCAAATAAAATAATTGAATCTGCTCTCTCCATACATGCAAATTATTCTAAGTTGTGTTGCCGTCAAAGACTCAAGATTAGAAAATTTGGCTTATTTCTTCTTTTTCTCTTGATCTGATAGACTTATTCAGCCGGGGTTTAACTTACAGCATGTGTTACAGCATGTGCAAATGTTTCCCCGTTTGTTTTAATGAACACAATTACTCAGTTTATTTGGGGCTCCAACTAAAGAGAGAGAGAGAGAGAGAGAGAGAGAGAGAGAGAGAGTCATGAATGTTTTATGGGTCATAATGGCTTGATCAGATTTCCTCACCACACTTTGGCCTCCACGGACACACAAGACCAGGGGCTTTCCTGGCACCTCTGCCCCACAAACACACAGCAGCATATGGTGTGCAATTCAGACACCTCTGGGGCCCTGGCTGCTGCAGAGTGTGGTCAGAGCTATGAATTATGAATATGAGCTAATTGTTTTCTCATTTGGAAAGTCTTGCTCGTTTTAGGTTGTAAAGCTCCTGGTTACAAGTAGGAGTTTGATTTGATGTCCACCCAATCACTATTCTGTCATTTTCCATGTCACATTTTCATCGATTCCGGTCTAGAAAAACAGAGTGGGTTATATAAAGCTAACCTAAAACCATAAATTTAAGTTTTAAGGAAATGAATATTTTGCAAAAGGGTGATTTGAATCAAAACTAATTACTTGAGGGTTTTAATGAAGCTACTGAATAAATGTTTAAAAATACAGAGAAGTGATGCACAATCTGCTCAAATAAACAGGATTTTTTAATTTTTATTTTAAATCATTGTATTAAAAGGGAGGAAACGGTTGATAGTTCCCCGCGTCATTCCATATAATCAGTTCCTGCAATATCGAGATGAATAAAAATAAACACTAGACTAATAACTCAGGCATTATCACTTTAATATTATCCATGAGTCTGTTTTTTTAATTAGGATTAGACGTCAATTTCAGAAACAGCAGTTAGTCTGAAAATTACATTCAAAATGTGCAGTTCACAATGCGTGATGACATCACCCCTCCCCCGTCCCAACTAATACTCACTTCCTTCATCCGTACATCAACAAAATTAGATATTTTCACTTGTTATTGACACAATTTCAAGCCATCACACTTCATTATTGTTTTTTTTGTACAACAGGTTCAAGTTCTTGTTGAAGTAATCTGTACATATGTTTTTTTGAATTTTGTTAAAAATGAGACGGAGATAGCATTTACCAACTAACTGCAGTACTATTTCCAGTACCATCCTGTCAATTTGTTATCAAGCTCCTTTCCATCCAGGGGCAGAGCAGGAAACAGGAGATGAATATTCTGTATTGATCTTAAACCGTGTAAGGCCTAAATGTCGATCTAAGCAGCTCACCTTTCTTTTTCCAGTCAGCCTCGAGAGATACAAGGGCGAGAGACGAGATCTCTGACTCTTCTTGAGAGCTCTTGCTTTTAAACACCACAACACATTGGGTTCACATCTGGAAAACAATCTGGTTCTCTGCATACTGTTACACAATTCAGCACAACACAGTCCATTTATTTCAAGGAAACAACACAGTTTTGACCTCAAACATGTGGAAGTCCTGATATTTCATTAAAAGGAAGTTTCTCTATTGATGAGCATGTCTGTTATCCAGTAGCATGAAGTCCTAAAGGAAAAGGCAGACAGCCGTTCCAGTAAACGTTTTGGGAGGTGTGGATGGAGGGCAAACATGGGTGGATATGGAGAAAACAAAAAAAGATTTTTCAGAGTCTATCCAATTTGAAACAGGGTTCCTGTCCTAATACTGACTATTAATCATTGTCCAATTCAATCGACCCCATTATCCGCAGGTCAGTAGTCATTCTCAAATAATACTGTCTCCTAATACAGTGCACTTTCAGCTTATTCCACAGGAAAAAAATGAAGAAAACAAAAACTCTGAGCCCTCGAGAGCCCAGATACAAGTCAGTTACGTGTCTGAATAAATCAAACCCGAAAAAAAAGTTTTACTTTTAAACATTTCACTGCAAAGAACTCAATCTGGTGAGACTTGAAAGGGTCCGCTCAGTCAGTTTTCATTCTAGGCGTCAATACTGAACCAAGATAAAGTCCATTCCAGTGTCCAACTTAGGAAAATATTCCCATTTCTCAAAAAAAAGAAAAAAAAGTGCATAATGGAGACTAATGACCATCCATAATTTTCCAAAAGTCCATCAAGCTTATTCTAAGCCACGGAATGACGATCCAAATGGAAAAATCCTCAAAAGTTCAAAAAATATTAAGTGCATAAAGAACCTTTCTGTATTCATTTTCTTCACTTGTATCCAGTCATATGTCACAGTAAGTCCACTCACGTTTGTTTATATACTCTATTAAGCTTGGCCCACAGTGGTGGTGTGTTTTTGTGTGATGGATATGAGATGTTAAACTTCTGGCATTGTGTTCTCTGTATCGATTCTCACTTAGAGATGTTCTACCTGCCAAAAATGTTCTCATACTCTAGAAGGATGAGTTCTACAATCTGGTTCTGATAGACCATATGAACCGCCATATTGCCCGTCTCAATCTCCGGCCGCAGCAGGGTTGGGCCGAACACGATAGCCACGCTCTGGGTAGTCATCCTGTTCACCTCACCATGATCTATCACTCTGAAAAAGAGAGAGAGAATAAGTGTCTTGTCTTTCTTTCCTGTAAAATGGTTAAAAATGTAACCATCATCAACAGCAGAGCTCATTTTCTGCAAATAAAGAGCTTCCTTTTGGCTGACAAAGAAATCATGAAAGGTGAGTCTGTAGCAGGTAAATGCATTTTCTTTCTACATTAAAATGCCAAATCTGCTCAACGTCAGCGTTTTTTCATTAGGAAAAATGTTTGGGTATTGTGCTTAAATTACACAAATACAGATGCCTTTTTCCCAGCTACAGCAAAATGTCAGACCATAATTTTTCTGGAACGCTATGCCTCCGTCCTCCATTTTGAGTTACAGTGAACCAAGAGCCATTTAAATGCAAATGGAGGCAAAGGCAAATGTCATTGTGCGTGTTTGATATAGCAATTACGATTGAGACTCAATGCCGGTCTGTAAATTACACAGTAAGGCACAGTCTCGTACAACAACATGGGGAAAATTATTCACTCTATATGTAGAGTGAAAATAGAGTTTTCTTTGTTTATTTCCCACTTCATTTTAAATTTGAGTTGATTTAAAGAAGCCTTAAGTAAGAATGCTGATGGTGTTAAGGTGATGTCCCTAAAAACACATCTGAATTTGTCTTAAAATCATGTACATGCACAGGTACGTCTAAATATAGTGTTGTCATTATAGCAAATCTCTAAAAGAGGAAACAATGGACACTTTGACCACTGCCCTTCATGAAGCTGAGAGCAAAATGAAGGTAGAAACGAACAGACCGAACAAGACCCCTAAAGAAAAAACTCCCTAAAGAAAGCCCAGAGTGATTAAAGATTCATGTGACTCTCACCTGCCACTGAGGAAGCAGCTTTATAGCTCATGATTATTTTAAGGTTTGGAAAGGATGTGATAACAGAGGTACTGTTAACAATTTATGGTTATAAAAAGTTGCTTCATAAACCTAAATCTACAAGAAAAAAAAAATAGTAGTTTTAGTAGGAAATATAGGGACTCCCATCTGTTTTCAGGTAAATCACACATTAGTCATTTTACCAGTCATTGCCTCTTGAATCACAACAGCCTGATGACTATAAAAGGCCCTAGTAAACGATGTAAGCTAATACACATAAATGTTCAAAATTTTGAAAGAAATTATAGCTCTTATTCAGGAAGGACACATTAAATTGATCAATGGTGACAGTTAATACATTTATAATATAGATTTCGATTTCAATTAAGTTTTGATTTTAAACTTTCTATTCATCAAAAAACTAAAACCTGAACAAAAATATTAAGCAGCAAAAAATATTAAGCAGAAATGTTTCTTGACCGCCAAATCAGCATATTAAAATGATTTCTGAAAGGTCATGTGACATTGAAGACTAGAGTAATGACTGCTAAAAATTCAGCTTTGCATTACAGGAATAAATTACATTTGAAAAGAAACTAATGAGAAAACAGTGATTTTAATTTGTAATAACATTTCACAATATTGTTTTTACTGTATTTTTGATCAAACAAAAGCAGCCTTGGTGAGCATAAGAGGCTTCTTTCAAAAAAAAAAACCTCCAAATGGTAATGAATGGTAATGTAATTACGTAAACAGGGTTTTTTCAGCAATTTTTTGTAGACAAATAATAATTGATCAGATATTATAAAACAACTGATCGACAGATATTGTTCAAACAATCAAAACAAATTTTGTTTTGTGTGTGTGTGTTTTTTTTTTTATCGGTACCAGCCAGTATTGGATATTTAATTGTGCATGCGCATATATTTTTTACATTTAGATTATATTTGCCATAATCTAAAACTCACTTAAAGTTACTCTTTAAAAACATTGATAATTGAATAAAACTGTTAAATTTGACCTTTTGCTAATCTCAAAATTATTATCCATTTTTCATAATGTACATTATAATGTCGTGATGCCTGAATTCACTATAAAATGATTGACTGTACTTTTTAGTACTTTATTTATTTATCTTTATTTTTATTCAGGTAAAATAGTTTATAAATTTAGTATTGGCCAAAATGTTTATATCAGAGCAATTCTAGTAACAACAAAAGTAAGTGGGTCATTTTAAATGTCAATCAGTCTCTTCCTGTCTAAATGGGCATGTCTTTGCCAGAAAGAGCTGCAAAGAGGATACCACTTGATGCAGATCAACACTACACAAGATCTACTAAAAGAGCCTGGAGCATCAGCAACATAACAGTTGCGTTCTCCACATCTGCCGTTTCCTGAGAAGCTCCCAAGGTTGATGTCACAGTCAGAAACGGTTTACACTGGCTGTTAACTAACTGAATTACATTCCTACTGCATCACAATCACAGATAGCGGGCCCTGGATTAACTACAGCACCTCACGCTCACACTTTCCTCCCCAGTATTGGATATTTAATTGTGCATGCGCATATATTTTTTACATTTAGATTATATTTGCCATAATCTAAAACTCACTTAAAGTTACTCTTTAAAAACATTGATAATTGAATAAAACTGTTAAATTTGACCTTTTGCTAATCTCAAAATTATTATCCATTTTTCATAATGTACATTATAATGTCGTGATGCCTAAATTCACTATAAAATGATTGACTGTACTTTTTAGTACTTTATTTATTTATCTTTATTTTTATTCAGGTAAAATTGTTTATAAATTTAGTATTGGCCAAAATGTTTATATCAGAGCAATTCTAGTAACAACAAAAGTAAGTGGGTCATTTTAAATGTCAATCAGTCTCTTCCTGTCTAAATGGGCATGTCTTTGCCAGAAAGAGCTGCAAAGAGGATACCACTTGATGCAGATCAACACTACACAAGATCTACTAAAAGAGCCTGGAGCATCAGCAACATAACAGTTGCGTTCTCCACATCTGCCGTTTCCTGAGAAGCTCCCAAGGTTGATGTCACAGTCAGAAACGGTTTACACTGGCTGTTAACTAACTGAATTACATTCCTACTGCATCACAATCACAGATAGCGGGCCCTGGATTAACTACAGCACCTCACGCTCACACTTTCCTCCATACAGCCCTTCATGTTCTCTCTCTGTCAGTCTTCTGCTCTTAATATTTCTCAAGACTCTCTTTCTCTCTCTGTGGCTTGTGCATCACACCCCAGTGCCAATGGCAATGCATCAGTAGGATGTGGTGCACACCCTCCTTCCAGACTCTTCCTGTCCCTCTCTCCTGACCTGCTCCACATGTCTCTCTCTCTCTCTCTCTCTCTCATAATGATGTAGTTGGCTAGTCTCCAGGTCTGTCCCAGTAATGGATACAGTGAGATAACTCGATAGAGGCTTGCTGTGCAAAGCACCGACCACACCCTCCTCACCTCTAACAATCACACACACCAGCATGGCCCTAAATCAATAATGAATGATGATGGTTTGGAAAGGAAGGCCTTTTAACTCAAAATGACAAATCCATCCTTGCAATAAAGGGCCCTGTGAATAATATACTGAAGTTCCATTTAAAACAGCAACAGGAGCAATTTTCTTTCCTTACCTTTTCAGGTGTTTGAATAACACTTTCATTGTTTCCTGATTGGGTTTTGGCAACTGTTTTATCAAGTCTTTTATGGATTGGACTCGCTGCTTGTAATCGGAGTGTTCTGAAAATTAAGCAAAATGGAAAAGCAGGATTAGGATACGGTTGAGATGCTACTGATGATCCAAGTCTGGGAACGGCAAGAAAAACTATTCCCAAGTCAAACTGCTCCCTCTTGTGGCTGATGCTTTATTAGTATTCTGGGAGCATAATAAAATCAATGTCCATTCTGTACCCTTACTGAAAAGAACATTCTGTATATTTCTTGATCACCAAATCACCATATTAGAATGATTTCTGAAGGCTCGTGTGACAATTCACTGCAGTAATGGCTGCTGAAAATGTAGCTTTGCCATCCCATCACAGGAAAAATTGCATTTTTTAAAGGTATTAAAATCAAGGTCTTAAATTGCAATAATATTTCACAATATTACTTTTTACTTTTTAATAATACAATTTTTAATCAAATAAATGAAACCTTGGTAAACATAAGAGACTTCTTTCATAAACATTAAAAAAATCTTCCTGACCCCAAACTTTAGAACAGTAGTGGTGTACATAAAAAAGCAAGAACATCTGAACATTTGTACAAAGGAGTTTACATAAGTGTCACAAATTCTTTTGATAAGTGACCAAGAAATGGTGAAGAATATTTTATACTTCATCTTCATTTTACATCACAGCATTTCTTTGTTTTAAACTTTTAAAAATCCTTGATTAAAATGGGGGACAGGAGAATTTAACAGACAGAAAAATTAAAGTACTCACTGATGGCTTCGACAAAGTCATTAAAGGATGCGTAAGTGAACAGAGGCTCTGGAAGCTCCCGGAAAAACATCTTCAGAGCACCTGTAGTCACGTGGATATCCTCCCATTTATTGTCTTCCAGATTCACCTTTTCATCTGCAGACAAATAAACACACCCTTCATATCGATTCAAACCAAAGCTGCTGACACACTATATCAGACTGATATTAATTAAATTAATTAATTAATTTTAATTTATGCATTTAGCAGATGCTTAAAAGCGACTTGCAGTGCATTCAGGCTATACATTTTTTTTACCAGTATGTGTGTTCCCTGGGAATTGAACCCATGACCTTTTGCGCTGCTAACGCAATGCTCTACCACTGAGCTTTTCTACAACCACCTGATTGTTTGAACTTTGTCATTATCTTCAGGGTAGGAGATGTGCCTGGTTATTTCAGTATCATTCATATACTATCATAGTATTTATTAATATTTTGAATTGGATTTTAGTTAGGGATGCACGATATATCGGCCACCATATCGGTATCGGCCGATAAATGCTCATTTTTTCTGTTATCGGTATCGGCCATATAAGAAAATTTGGCCGATATCTTAAAGCCGATAAATAATGCATTATTTCCTTCAGAGACACTTCAGATGCGCGCTGTTCGTTTGCAGCCTTTTGTGCAATTGTATGTTGTAATATTGTGTTTATATATGATATATATCTAATTTATCTTATATAGAATGCGTTTGGTTAAGTTAAAAGAGAGCTTCAGTTTACCAGTGATAAACTCAAACAGCAGTGCACAACATTAATAACTATGATTGGGAATGTCGTGTATATAACATTCTAATGAGAACATTATTATAATAAAACGTTGTGAATTCTTTGGGTTTAGTTGCCGTGTTTCAGCGCGTTGTTATGGGAAGAGCGCATCCACAACAGGATCACACATTCTGACTATAGCACGCAATAACTACATCATTTTGTACATATATAAATTGTAATATTATGTTTGTTTTATTAATATTAATCTCAGGATTCATTTCCTTGAAAATTTGGATATAGATTTATCGGCCAACATATCGGTTATCGGCTTTCAAAAATTAAGGATTATCGGTATCGGCCAAAATTTTCATATCGGTGCATCCCTAATTTTAGTTTTAGTTTTCAATTGAATTTTAGTTTAAGTTGAGGTTATGTGGTTATGTGCTTTTGTCATTTTAATATTTTTTTTTTAGATATATACTTCTATATAGTTCTTTTATTTCAGTTTTCGTTTTAGTAATTTTAGTACTTCTATTTAAACTTATTTTATTTCAGTTCGTTGCCAAGGCAACACATTTGTAATTTTGATTTAAGCTTTTAAAGCTTAAGTTGTTCCATCTAATATTTTTTATTTAATTTTATTTCAGCTTTATTTCAATTACTAAAATGATATTTATTTATTTATTTTAAATGTATTTTTCATTTTTAGTTAACAATAAAAACACATTTTAAAAAACTACATTCAGAACTAAACAGTTCTTCTCTACCGTGATTGACCGCAAAGCGCAGTTTCTGTATGACAGCCAGGTTTCCACTGACTCTGTACAAGCCATCGACATTCAAGCCTGAGAAAAAGATACAGAGAAATGAGAAAGGAAGTGAATGTAGTCCTAGAATGATAACTCAAAAATGTATAAGTAATCCAATTGATGAAACAAACAGATACATACTTGTATTCTCCACATGCTCAATGCACATCTTGACAAAATTAGGTACGGAAGTGCTTTCTCTCTGACACAGGGCAGTCAAACTGCAGCCAAACACCTGATCTGAAAACAGACAGAAGGGTTAACAGAACTGCTTCCTCTTTATGTAGATCATCCATTAAAGCCCAAAATTCTAGTTAACTCCTAAGCTGTATGTGCTTCTATTAGTGTATTTGACCTTTTATGTAGCCCTTATCCCTGACAGCCTGTAAGGTGGGTCTCCGTGTGAGGAACTTCTTCAGTTTGACTCTGGTCTTCTGCTCAGACGAATCCAAACTGGAGTTCTTTACTAGTGCACAAACACCCAGATGTGTGTCACAACTCATCAAACCCTGTATCGTCATGATTTAGTTTACAAATGCATGTCTTCAGTACCTCTGTTTTTCTTTGAATCTCGGGGGTCTTTCTCTCTGTCGTGTTTCTCAGTTCCAGGAGACTCAGGCATGTCCTCCTCAATGGCCTCATCAGACTCCCAAGCCTACAAAACATGCATTATCATTACAAAGAACCTTTGAACATCTGTGTATGCTGTTTATGTCATAATTTTGTGCAGTGTGGTGTGTGTATTTCACTCACATGTGTGTTGATGGTCTCAGAAAGCGCTCTGAACCAGTCATTAATAACAGTGTCAATCTCAGACTGGATCAGCAGCTCTGTGCCCACTCGTGTCTTCAGCTGCCAGGGTCAAAGTTCAGATCAGGTCAATGGGAGCATATTAGGCAGGAGTCAGGACAGATTCAGTTTCAGTAAGAATATTTGTAGTTAATCCTGGAAAACTTGTATTGTAAATGGATAATTGTTATGTTACTTGGCAATCGTAATCATCATACTGCAATTATGATAATTAATTGTATTACAGAATTTGATGCAATTTAGCTAGATTTCATTTCTAATAAACACTAAATAATTACTAATAAAAATGACTAAATAAGTAATAAATTAGCTATTTGTTAAACACATTTGTCTTTTATTGTAATGCTGCTGCCATTAAATAAAAAGCATGTTTTATAAAAGCAATAAGCCAGTAATGGCTGTGTGATACAGTAATTTTGCCACAGTTAAGAGAGTTCTAAGCACTGCGATTCACATCCGTACCAGTGGGGGAAAAAATCAGTATAACTAACAGTATCTGATGGCTTACTGCTTTATTATAGTCTACTAATTCACCGGGAAATTGCTCTGTAATTAATGTAAATGAACCAGAATTGTTAAAACATTAACATTCTGTCATCATTTACTCACTCTCATGTTGTTCCAAACCTGTATGAGTTTCTTTCTTCTGTTGAGCACAAAAGAAGATATTTTGAAGAATGTTGGTAACCAACCAGTTGATGGTAGCCATTGACTTCCATAGTATGTAAAAAATACTTTAGAACCCAACAGCTACCGTCAACCGTTTGGCTACCAACATTCTTCAAAATATCTTCTTTTGTGCTCAACAGAAAAAATAAACTCATATTTGAGTATGAGTAAATGATGATAGACTATTTATTTTTGTGTGAACTATCCCTTTAAGTGTTTCCAACAATGTTGAAGATTTTAAGAAATCCAAAAGTAAAATCAGCTGACTCTCACCTCAATGACATGTTTCTTGCTGGACTTTTCTTTGGATGCCCACTCGACCGAACCTCCTCGCAGGTCCACCATGAATTCTGGTTTGGACTGGTTGCCTCCAAACTTGAAAAACAAGGTGAATTAAACAAATCAGTTTAAATCTTGTCACTCTCTAAGTAAATCATTGGGAGTTATTTAGGATTCTCTTTAGTCCAGTGCTGTTAAACACGAGCTATAGTGATGTTCCTGGGTCAAAAGCATTTACGTGTCAATTAGTTCTGGGTGCCAAATGTACAATAATAGGTTAGACTCGAATATTAAATGCACACGCAACACTGTCTTATAATTTATGGCCTAAGTTTGCAAAGAGCATTCCCACATTTTGCTTTGCACAATGCTAAGCTTCTTTTTGTATGTTGTGATAATACAGATGTTTACACATTCAAACACCATAAAATAAATTAGTCGGAATATGCAGAAATGCATGCCAGCAAACAAGGTTCTTAGTGCATCCATTTTCATCTACTATCTCTGGTTATTTGACATTGAAAAAGTTTAAAATTCACCCTCTCTTGCAGGAGGAACTTCAAGCACATAGCAGGGGCCGATAAATGTGGCGCACAGGCAGAAAGTAGGACGTGCACAAATAAAATGGGAGACAAGCTGCCCTGATCAGCTGATCTCAAAACAGATCTGCATCATACAATTATTTAAATAATGAACTTATATTAAATACTGCTCATTTCTAAAATGTAGCCTATTTAAAACCATCTAATGAAGTTGATCAAATCCCAAATCTGTTAATCTAGGCAAAACTGTTCCTTGATCAGCATAGAGGGCACATTCACTCTGTCCAGAGAAGCTGACACATACAGAGGAAGCCCGGCTGCGTCTACAGTTTGTATAGGACACTGCGGGCCGGGGCTTAATCGAACGCTTCCAGTTACTTAGCAATGAAAGGAGGAGTTCAGGAAAGGAACCATTGTGGCAGTACGACTTTGAAGAGACCGGGAAGAAATGGAAGAAAGGAACAGAAAAGAGAGTGATGATGCATGAAAACACACATGGGAGAAATAAATGAAGGAGAGAGGTACAAATCAGCAAGAGAGCTAATATTAATAGTGATTTTACATAAAAGCACGTAGGCCTCTTTTTGTTTACACTTGTTGCCGAGCACTGAATGTGGATGCAGTTTGCATGATACACTCCAGCATAAATGCAGGCAAATTTGAGGTAGAAAAATCCTGCCAGTATTCAAAGCATGTAAATTGAAATAACGCTGACTAATAAGGTCAAGAATTACCAAGAGAATAATTCCACATTTGTCTCAGATGAACAGGCCATTGTAACCCGGCATGAATACATACCCAGCTGGTGCCACTGCCCTGACCCTTTGCAAAAAGTAAAGAGGATCCCTGCAGGACAGTCCAGGTGGAGGCCCAATTCTTCCTGCAGGACAATAAAAACAATAGATGCATCTGTGTCACTATTTTAAAGATCAAATGAGAAACTAGAAAAGGGAATAAAAACGCTTTTAAATGACCCATGCTTACATTTTTCAATGCAGCACAATACATTAATTCTTAGAGGCCACAAAATTTATTTTAAGAATATATAGGTGACACTTCAGTTTTAGTTCCCTAACTATTAACTACAACTTTTGCCTCAAACTCTTAACTTGCTCCTTATTAATAATTAGTAAGGTAGTAGTTATGTTTAGGCATGGAGTAGGATTAAGGGATCTAAAATATGGTCATGCAGAATAAGGCATAAATATATGCTTTATAAGTACTAATAATCAGCCAATATGCTAATAATATGCATGCTAATAAGCAACTAGTTAATAGTTAGAATTGGTCCCTGAATTGGTACTACCAATATATATTGCATATAAATATTATTATGATTTTATTAAAATGTCATTAGTTTATCTATTTCCCCACATCTATTAAAAAATAAATGGCAATATTCAGTGATGCAGTTTTTACCTGACTTTCTTGCCATGTTCAGTAATCTTGGTGACATTGAGAACACCACACTTTTCCGAGGGCTACAGGGAGCAGAAAAATGAGCTTAGTAAATAAAAATTAAAAGTAAAGAAAATATATTACAAACAAAGGGAAAATAAGTAAGTAAAATAATAATATATATTAATATATATATAGTTTTGCACATTCTGATGACAACATGCATTTAGAAGAGAACTGAATGTTAATACACTGAGAAGATCATGCATAAAATCACATGGGTTAGTGTGTATACTAACGGCAGAGGGATGTTTTGGTGAAGAGGGGCAAGAGTCTGATTCAGGAGAGTAGTGTTTGGCAATTACAGACTCCTGCAAGTCATAAAGCAGAAAAAGAGCGGTGTTAAACATTCAGAATAGAGGGTGTTTGAGGATGAATACAAAAAGAAGTTAGACCCATTCTGAAGGCAGCTAAGAATTTCCTAAGAGAAAAAGGCTGATATATCAGTGTTTGTATGACAGATAATGGTCAGAATCACTGTTATCTCAAGTCTTGCCATTAATGATTTGTAAGGACATGGACAAGATTTTGTTGACATGTCAGTAATAAAATGAGTTAATGAGGAGTTAGTAAAAAGGCAGCAGACACAAGCATACAAATAAGCATCACACCCAGATACATCACGTATCAATGATAAAGTGCACATTTTGAGCAGGTTTTGATTAACTCAAAGCTGACTTGTTTCCTTGATTCGCTTGAAAACAATTTAAATTTGTGAAGTGAAGAAATCACATCTGATTGGTTACAGCATAATGAGGCGACTAACTTCTCTGTACAGTGATAGGCCGAAGCCCCTGGGGAGGCGGCTCACGCTGAACCATCTGTTTTTGAATGGCAGCTGGAAGGAGAACCATTGTGCGAAACAAGAGCAACATAATATCAGGCTTGTTTCATTTTGCATCTTTACAGAACCAGCATAACTAAATAAAAATACAAACCACATTCGCTCTCTCTCTCTCTCTCTCACACACACACACACACACACACACACACACACACACACACACACAGACACACACACAGACGCGCATGAATAAAATGCACAAGATTAAGGCCTGTTAAAAGCCTTGTGCTCTCCTGGAGGAAATATATTTGATCAGTGTTAATCTTCACTGGCATCTGGGTGAAGGAAAAAATGACTGACAGCTTCCTAAATGGCTTTTAGGCTACATGCTGGTCAATAATAATAATAAACACCAAAAAAGGCATAACCAAAGAAAATAAACATAAAAGCAGCTCATTATGTGTTGGTCTAACATTTTAATATTTACAGTTTGTAGCTGTGATAATAACAAATGTTTCCTAAGCACCAAATCAGCATATTAAAATGATTTCTGAAAATTCAGCTTTGCCATCAAAGGAATAAATTACATTATAAAATGTATTAACACTTGTTATTGCAATTTGACCCGTAACAACAAAATTATAGCCAGAAATAATGGTTAACCTAGGATAATTTTTATTTTTTGTAACAATCTCTCATTCATGCCTGCAAAGTTTTTACACTCTGTGATGTTTTGGAATGTGTGCTTGTGCATGCAAAATATTTGTTACAATTATGTTTGCAGGTCAATTTGACCAGCAATTTCATGGTTAATGGCAGCTGCATAAAAAAATATATGTATTTTGTTATATCAGGTACCCTCGTAGGGCATTTATATTTACATTTATGCATTTGGCAGACACTTTTATGTGAAGAAATGTACACAACATTGAAGGTGTACATTTTTACCAGTTCAAGCATAGAAATTTCACTGGGAATCAAACCCATAATCTTGCCATTGCCAAGTAGTGCCATGCTCTACTGCTTGAGCTTCACAAAAGCATACCAAAATAAATAAATAAAATACATGCATTTAAAAATAAATCAAACATGTTAAATTTAAAATAAAAAATAGTAACAATGCTGTTTTTTTAATATTCATATATGTTTGAAAAAGAAAAAAAAATACAGTTTTAAAAATCGTATGTTCTATGTTTATTTTTTGTTAAACGTTTACCGTTTTTACTTTATTTTTTTTATTGTGTGATTTTTGGTGAACTGTACTGAATCTAGGGCTGCACGATTTATCGAACTGAAATCGCAAAGGCGATAAGGCAAGCTGCGATTGTCATGCGTATCTTTCAGTGAAGCACGGTTCTGTGATCAACAGTAAATCTCCATCCGAAGGTCCAGAGGGCGCTCTTGCGCTGAAACTGAAAAATACGCCTTGCAGAAGAAACCCAGGAAATGCCTATAGCGGTTGCGGAATAAACAGAAGATTTAGCTGCTTTGACTAATTCAACGTGACTAATAAACACACGACTATGACAATATATGGTTTATCTGAGATCGTCTTATTATAATTTTTATTATAATAAAGTATATAATGCAATGCTAATCGACATAGCCTTTATCACTACTTAGAATACTATGAAATATGTTGCGTGCCTTATTCTGTTTAAGAAGATTTATTTCAAACACTCGACTGACGTTATGAAGTGAGTTTGGAGTAAAAACATGTTATTAAATGTGGTATTTTCACGTGCTTTCAGATGGAACAGCATTTACTACACAGAGACGTAGTTCACTGACAAGCTCCATAAACAGCGTTCATAATCGCAGAATGATTTCTTCGAATTCATAATCGCGCGATTAAATCGTCTGCGATTATGAACACGATTTTTCTTAGCTTGTCAGTGAACTATGGCTCTGTGTAGTAAATGCTGCTCCACCTGAAAGCAGGAATGTAGATTTACTACTAATCACAGAACCGGCTTTACTGACAAGATGCGCATGACAATCGCATTCGATTAATCGTGCAGCCCTAATCTGAATCCAATTAAGGTCACTCAATTTGAATAAATTACTCCCAGAATCTGAAAATAATACAAGAACTAGAACAGAAAACAGTATTTTAAATTGTAAAATTATGTCATATTACTGTTTTTACTATATTTTGATCAACTAAATCAAGCCTTGGTGAGCATAAGAGACTTCTTTCAAAAACATTTGCCAACCCCAAACTTTTGAACGGTAAGTTTATATATATTACACAAAAGAGAACTGTATTGTGTAGACCATGTTTAATTGTGCTAAAGAATCATATTTGTTTGTCTTTAACAACATAGGCATGTACCTTTTCACTGACGTCCAGCACATAGGTGCTGTGTCTCCACTTGGTCAGCACAATGGGCTCCTGCTGCTTCCTTTCCAAACTGTGACTCTTAGGAGCTTCTCCAGAGATTTGAGGAGAGAGATTATACTGGGACCAAACAGGAAGGAAAAGAGAGGGAGAAAGTGATTTGGTTGAATTGGTTTAAAACCAATTAGTGACGAGAGAAACACAAAATATAGTGGGCAAGCAAATCGAAAATCAGCAGAGTCACCACAAAAATAATATCCAGAAGAGAATTTATACATAATTGTACTTGAAAATGTTTAAAGGAAAAATAAAGGTTGGTTAAATAAACCAGTTTACATATGAAATGAGTACTGACAGTGATAAAAACACAGAAAAGTAAAGAGAACAGTCATTGAGGTACCTCTCTCCTCGCCGTCCACAGCACCATGTGCGGTCAGATCCCCTCCTCCGAACATAAGCCCACCCAACCCACTCAGCCCCCCAGAGTACAACATGTGTGTATATGTTAGATGGAATGAGAGGATGTGTAATAAAAGAGAAGCGTGTGGTCAGATAAACAGTGTCCAGCAGCGACTGGGCCACTAGAGACACTGATCTCAACTAACTAGATTAGGGAATCAGGGTTACTTTTAGATTTTCCCAGTAAACCTCCTACTGTCCTGGTTAACACTTGAGCTAAAGCGGTCAATGATCACACATGATCCAAAGACAGAAGAAAGGCTGTCTGGGTATACCTGTGGAAAAAGTTTAACTTACTTTTGGTAACTCCCATTCTGAGCGGGATCCATCAGCGCTGTAGTAATACGGCCGCCCTTGTTCGTCCACATGCTTGATCCACTGTCAAACAAAGAAAAAACATTCCTTACACTGCGTCTCATCCATAAGAAAATGAGATTTCTGTATGTAAGCAGCTCTTTCCAGCACCTTCTCATTGGTGTATTCAGACACATAGAGTGTGTGGCCATGTTCATCCAGTTCCTCAGACCAGCCTCTAGGGGGCGATCCGTACTGACTGTCTGACTGACTGGAGTGTGTGCTGGGACAAATCTCCTCAGAAGACAAATGCTGAACAATACAGTGAGACAAGACAATGAGGGGGAAACTATGTCAGAAAGACAAGAGAATCATACAAAAAAACAAATGCAACTTCAACAGTATGGCATGGCACTAACAACACTAAAGTAAGTCGCTTTGGATAAAAACAACAAAATGTGAATGTTATTTATTTACAAATATTATTATATTTAAAATGGTTATACGTGTTTTTATATATTATTATTAAAGAAATAAATATATTTTTATACATACCAAATGTATTATTACTAAAGTAAGTCGCTTTGGGTAAAAAACAAAATGTGAATGTTATTTATTTACAAATATTATTATATTTAAAATGATTATACGTGTTTTTATATATTATTATTATTAAAGAAATAAATATATTTTTATACATACCAAATGTATAATGATTACTATTATCAGTAATAAACAATATGTTGTTATTAAAATATAACACATTTTAATACACATTATTATAATTATTATTATTATTATTAATGTAATATTTGTACACATAATAATAATAATATTTATTCAAAAATATTATTATTATTATTATTGGTAAAAAAACTATATATTATTATTACACACATTTTATTGTTAATATTATTTTTATTAATTTATAATTTTTTTAATAAACAATGATAATAGTTGTAGTTGTACAACAATGATAAAAGTTGTAATAATAGTATAATATTATATCTTAATTATATATATTATTATGATTATATATCCACATATACAAACCCAATTCCAAAAAAGTTGGGACACTGTACAAATTGTGAGTAAAAAAGGAATGGAATAATTTACAAATCTCAAGACGGGAAAATTATGTAATTAAAAAAAAACAAAAATTGGTGTAATCCGTTCTTCATAAAAATGAATATTTTGTATTTTAACAGCATACACATACATGTCTCAAAAGAGAAGTGCACAACGAGAAGGCCAAGTCAAATATAACCAGCTAATAAAACTCTGATCGATTCTGCCAGGCACTGGGAAAAACTCTGACAGAGAGATCCAAGATTCACAAGGAGCTCAAGAAACATCTGCCAATTATTTTATTGATGTGTTCTCGGTCGACAACTGGCTGGACTCTAACACTGTCCCTTTAAAACACATTTTAAATGAGAAGAAAGCATGAAGAGAAATCAATAAAATTAAAAATTAAGCACAGAAATATTTGCATATGTTTTGCCAAAAAAGAGATTCAGACATCACAGAGGTACAATTGATGCAAAGGCACCAGACACTGTAATCTAAATTTTGCAAGCTTTCGTCATTCTATGAATCATCATCCATTTATTCCTCTGTCCATCATTCTCCAAGTGCCAACTATATTATTTTAACAAAAGAGTATAGAAAAAATAGAATAAAATGTAAACACAAAAAAATTCTAGACCACTATATCAGATCCTCTGCTATTCTCTTCTTGTAACTGGCCACTAGAGGTCGACATTAGACCAATAAACCCTGTGCAAGAGAAGGATTATGTGCAAAAATGGTAACCTCCATTTCTTTCCCTCCTAAGCACCTCATTACTTATGATCTGTGTGTGTGTGTGTACCTGTTTTTCTATTCTGGTGGGGACTTAAACCTGAATACACACAGACTCATATCACGGTGGGGACCTAAATTGTGGTCCCCACGGGTACAAAAGCTTATAGATCATACAGAATGAAGTTTTTTGAAAATCTAAAAATGCACAAAGTTTCCTGTGAGGGGTAGGTTTAGGTGTAGGGTTGGTGTAGGGCAATAGAATATACGGTCTGTACAGTAGAAAAACCATTACGCCTATGGAGAGTCCCCACAAGGATAGCAAACCAGACATATGTGTGTGTGTGTGTGTGTGTGTGTGTGTGTGTGTGTGTGTGTGGCATGCATAGCATGCATATCCTCTCTGGAATATTTGTTTCTTATTGGTCTGTGATGGCATTTTGCAGTTGAATATTGTTCAGTAATCATCGCTGAACTTTATAAATGGACATGGTCTCAGAGAGCAAAGTGCCTACATAGCTGTATTAGTTTCTGAACCTTGTTGAGCCTTAATCTGCTTGTAATCTAATACAGTTATTTCAAATCAAATCAATATTTAATGCCATTTAAATTATTAATTTTGTAAGCAGTATAATGTGGAGGATAATGTACAGTCAGCATTAATCAAGGTGCTTTACAAGATCAAGACGGTCTAGAAATGTTTATGGAGGACCTCGCTTTTCTCCATTTAATTTTTATTCTCAAACACACTAGACACACACACACACACATGTGTGTCTGGTTTGCTATCCTTGTGGGGACTCTCCATAGGCGTAATGTTTTTTCTACTGTACAGACCGTATATTCTATTGCCCTACACCAACCCTACCCCTTACAGGAAACTTTCTGCATTTTTAGATTTTCAAAAAACGTCATTCTGTGTGATTTATTAGCTTGTTTACCCGTGGGGACCTCAATTTAGGTCCCCACCAGAATAGAAAATCAGGTACACACACACACACACACACACACACACACTTGCTTAAATGCCTTTGGCTGTGACATACAGTAAGATGGTTACATAACAGAATGAGTGTGTGTGAGTAAGGTACAGTGCAGAGAGAGAGGGGAGTGAAAAGACAATTTGGAAACTTGGACAAGGTCACAATTTTGTGATGTTTCTTTATGGATGTGCCTGACTGTGTTTTATACACAAAATACAGGATAAAAGCCACATGAGAGAAGGCAGTGCCTGTGATTGGCTGATTACCAGTGTACTGGTACTGTGATTGGCTGGTATCAGTGGACTAATGCCCGCCTATCATGTTCACAGCAGTTACTAATTACAAAAATGTAACTCACTAACAAACATTACCTTAAATTTTGGCGAACAGGTTGCATTTGTACAATCTTATTCATACGTTTTCATAAAATCGGCCTATAGTTAGGTTTAGTGTTGGGGTTAAGAGTTGACCTTCATGCATATTTTCCCAAAAAATCATGTTCTTATAATCATACAAATTCGCAACCAATTTGCCAAAAAATTAAAATAGTTACTAATTGCCATAACATTCAAAATTACCAATGTTACATTTTCTCATGAGATCAGTTAGTTCAGCTCAGTTTAATTTAAGCTTCATCTTCATGCTTGCAGTCTTCTTCACACCAAAAAGAATAACTATAATCAGTAATAAGAACCTTTTTAGAGGGCAGAGACTATTTTTCTCCTCTTCTTTTTATCCATCAAAAACTACCCCTTACACAAATAAAGACCTATCTCACTCTTCTTCCTCCTGGACTGAGTATGGATGACCAGTGTAACCTACATTTCCATCTGACTGCCTGCAGTCAGGATGCATCCGTTCAGCCACACATTAGCACATCTGTGACATATGCAGAGCCACGCGGGCACAGCCACCCAGTCACCTCCCCCAGAGCCCCTGGAGCCACATGGATGTGTGCTCAACCGAACATTAGGTAAATATCTACAGTATGAGACCACAGTATCTACTGCAAGCGTGTCACGAAGGACGCGACCATACACACTCAAATCAATAAGTGTGGCTCCAGGAAGGCTGATTTAGTAGACAGCAAACTTTATGGGGAATTTTAGCTCTATTTCACACCTCAGCGAGTTCAGCAATGCTCAAACTCTGACAGAGACAACCAATTAACCTTTATGTCTTTGGCACACAGCCCAATGCTGCGTGATACAACACACACACACACACACACACACACACACACACAAACAGACCTCCCTGCGCTCAGCGCTAATGCTGACGGTTTCTATAAGACTCGATGTGAATATGAAATTTCAGTCAGAGCAGCATGATGAACAACTGCACAATTTCCTCACTGCTGAATGAGGTAAAACTGCAAAAAACAGACTGAAATTCAAGAGTAAAACCTAGGGGAAAAAATAATGATTAGTGATGGGCCTGTATGGTTGTTTAGGGAGGTTTATGTACACTTCGAAATATCTTCTGTGTTTGGCAAAGCAAATACAGAACAGAACATTGAAATGAGTAAATAATGACAGAATTTTAATTTTGGGGTGAACTATCTCTTTAAGACTAACCAGTTGTTCAGACAACCAACCAACTAGCTGATTATTAAAATATATGTAGATTTGCATCTATCATAAACTGTGAACTTGGCAGTGAATATATGCGAATATAGGCGATGTGCTTTGATGGAAGTCCCAAACCCACAATAGCAGACTGTGCGTCCCGCAATCATGCAAATCCCTGTGTTCTCATTGGTTCCTCTCATCTCCCCAAAAACCCCTATTAATTATTCAGAAATGTTAGAGAGGACACCTAGTGAGCAACACTCTGTTCTCTGAGCTCAAACCACTGCTCGTGAATGAGCTCATGTCCCATATTTTCAACACAGTCTTTCCTCATACAACTCGCACTGCAAATCTAAAGCTTGTCTATCCAAGAACTTTATCTTCATTGTTAGCAATCCATGTTTTCCAGACTTTAAAGTTCTTGGAAAGACACTGCACATTATTGTCACATATATATGCATTTACATTTTTTATACATGCATTTGACAGACACTTTATCCAAAGAATTCAAGGTATACATTTTTTTAAGTTCATGCATACCCTGGGAATCAAACCCATGACACTGGCATTGTTAGCGCCATGCTCTACTGTTTGACCATGCATGCTTTCCAATGTCAAGCCCCATAAGGACTAAATCATAAATCACTACAAATCATAATAACAGATATAAGACGACTCAATAGACAAACACTGGCCACATGTTTGCCTATAAGAGAAAAAGGCTAGGCTAGGGGAGTTCAAAATATGGGGACAGTTGTCACCTAAATTAGCTCAAACCGTGAAGTGAGTTGTGGTGAGGATGCTCCTGGACAGAAGGGCTGGATGGATGATTCTTCCTTTATCTCTCTCTCTCACATCCCCCTTATTCCTCTCTCTGTGTTCCCTCTATGTGCTGACTGATGCAAAGGCTTAAAAAAAACTGCACTAGTGAAAAGCTTCACTGAACTGACACGCT